GTTTCCATAAAATAAAGACAGAAAAGGCCATTCCGGAGCTGCTGCTAACGGAGATCTGATGCATTAGTGGGTCACAGGATCAGCTGAACCAAAAATCCCGTTTAACTTTAAACTGGTTGTAGTCTTCAATCAATCAATCAACCAATCAACCAACCAATCAACCAATCAATCAATCAACCAACCAATCAATCAACCAATCAATCAATCAATCAATCAATCAATCAATCAATCAATCAATCAACCAATCAATCAACCAATCAATCAAACTTTATTTATATAGCACGTAATCATGCAATGCATGCAACTCAAAGTGCTTAACAAATTAAAAAGGCCCCACATACCAACATTCCCTTCCATTCCCAGAATTTTAAAAACAGTCTGAGAATAAATACCCCTTCACAACATTCATCCTCCAGCACACACACACACACGCACGCACGCACGCACGCGCGCGCGCACACACACACACACACACACACACACAAACACACACACCAATTAAAATAATGCTGATAGCGTGGACTGGAAGCCAGGTGATGGTTTACGTATTTACATGATGATCAGGCTGCTGTAAAATGTAATCTCCATCCACCTCCAGACATAATTATCTTCTATTCTTTCTCTATTTTCTCTGCTCTTGTCTGGGCTGACGTAGCTGATGGTGCAGTACCATTATGAACGGTAAGAGGTTCATATAGGAAGTGCAGGTAGAGTTAGAAAAATCTGCAGGGCCACAAACACATTAGAGAAGATGGACTGTATTTTTAGCCCGAAAACGATCGTGGTTCTATTTATATTACATTATTCATGTGGACTCTCCAGAGATCATTTAGAGCTGAGAGAAGCAGAACTCTGATCGTCGACACGCTCCAGACAGATGCGTCCTGAGCACGGCCACAATAACATTCTCAAAGTGTCGCCACCTTAAAAACAAATTTAACACGTGATCGTTCATGTCGGCTCTTACCCTTTTATGTTTTCTGTCTTTTATTTGTGCCTGATGCGTTTTGCAGAGCGGATAACCCGTTTCGTCCTCTGGTGACTTCACCTCACCGGTGGGTGCAGCCGGCGCGCACTCCGCTATATTTGCGGTCGGTAGATCTTTTAGAGCTGCAGTTCAAAGGTAACTCATGAGGTGAATATATATGAACCCAGGTAGCCGTTTTTCTTTAGGATTGAGAGGAGATGCAGGAAGATGATAAACAGACAGGACAGAAAGATAATGAATAAAATAGTGAAAATAGTGAAAAAGTCACTTTTTCCAATTACAGACCAATATCCTTATAATCGCAATTTTCAAAAATATTAGAAAACTTTTTTATTACTTAGCTAGATGAATTCATAATGAAAAAAAAATTAAACGATAGTCAATATGGTTTAAGAACTAATCATTCAACTTCCATGGCACTAATGGAACTTACTGAAGAAATTTTGGAAGCCATTGACAAAAAGATCCATTTCACAAGTATTTTTATTGATTTAAAAAAAGTGTTTGATACAGTAGATCATGAAATTCTTCTAAAAAACTTAGTAAATATGGTATCAAAGCAACGGCTCTAAAATGGTTAGCAAGTTATTTGAATGATAGGAAACAATATGTACAAATAAATGACACTAAATCAAATCTACGTGATATTACTTGTGGGGTACCACAAGGGTCAGTACTGGGTCCGAAACTATTTATTATGTATATAAATGATATTGCCTCTATATCAAATATATTAAAATGTATTCTATTTGCAGATGATACTACCTTCTATTATGCAGGAGCTAATATCAAACAGATGGTAGAAACAGTACAAACTGAGATGAAAAAAATAAAATTATGGCTTGATGGGAATTAACTCTCATTAAACACTGATAAATCATATTTCATGATATTTAGTAAAAGTAACTCAAATGATACAAGTCTATTAAATATAGATGATATTAATATTACAAGAGTAAAAGAAGTAACATTTTGGGGAGTTATAATCGACGAAAATGTGTCTTGGAAGCCACATATAAACAATGTGAAAACTAAAATAGCTAAAACAATTGCAATGTTACAAAGAGTAAAATGGTCACTGGATGATAACTCCCTATATTTATTATATAATTCACCTATTGCACCATATTTGAACTATTGTATAGAGGGGAGAGGGCTGAAGCAGGCAGTAAAGATGCAAAAACTACCATTGTTAAAAGAAATGTGTGTTAACTTGGAAAATGTAGGCACAATTTTAATTACTTATCAACATTTTTCTCCAACGTTAAGACTGCTGCACACAAAAAAAGACTGCTGTTTGCGTTGGCCCCCTTGTGGCTGTGGGCCCCTGGGCCTGTGCCCAGTTTGCCCATATTATAATCCGGCCTTGTCCCTTTTAGACTCTGACACCAGCAGTGAAGATGAGGGCAGGGATGCAGAGGAACCTGGTGTGAAAATCAGGAAGGAAATACTTACTTTGGAGAGAAGCCATCCTCAAAAAAGAAAATCCTTTACAGTGGTGGAAGAAAAATGAGCTAAGATTTCCCTCTTTGTCAAGGTTAGCTAAATCATATCTATGCATTCCAAGCACTTCAACTCCATCTGAGTGACTGTTTTCCGCAGCAGCCAACATATGCACTAAATAAAGAGCAAGCCTAAGCCCTGAGCATCTTGACATGTTGACATTTTTGCACTGTAATGCCAAGTTCTTTCTTGAATAAGCATGACCCTGCATTATTCTTTCTACAAGATGTTTTTTTTGCCTGTTCATCCCTAGTAGGTTCTCTATTGCAAATGTATTTTGTTTAAGAGGATCACACTTTTATGTAAAGACTGTGGATAAGGGGAATTAAAAATTGCACTTTAACCGTGCACTGCACTTTTGAGATGAGAGAGAGAAGTTTGTGTGTAAAATATTGCCCTCCCAAGTCAGCCTCTCGTTTAACTTTCAGGAAATAAATAGAATAAAAGTAGATTTTTATTTCATGGGCCATTTATAAAAGGACTGAGAAGATATTTTTGGAGGTGCTGATCCTCATCCCCGCCGCTTCACTTTCGGCCGCGAACCTACCCAGCAAGAGCTGAAGGTCAGAGCTGGATGAAGCTAGGAGGACCACATCATCCGCAAAAAGCAGAGACGAGATTCTCCTGCCACCAAACTCGACACACTCCACACCACGGCTGCGTCTAGAAATTCTGTCCATAAAAGTGATGAACAGAACCGGTGACAAAGGGCAGCCCTGGCAGAGTCCAACCCTCACTGGGAACAGGTCCGACTTACTACCGGCTATGCGGACCAAACTCTTAAGTATCTCAGGGTCTTGTTCACGAGTGAGGGTAGGAGGGATCGGGAGATCGACAGGTGGATTGGTTCGGCGTCTGCAGTGATGCGGACGCTGAGCCGATCTGTCGTGGGGAAGAGGGAGCTGAGCCAGAAAGCCAGGCTCTCGATTTACCGGTCAATCTACGTCCCAATCCTCACCTATGGTCATGAGCTTTGGGTAATGACCGAAAGAACGAGATCGCGGATACAAGCGGCCGAAATGAGTTTCCTCCGTAGGGTGGCCGGGCTCAGCCGTAGAGATAGGGTGAGGAGCTCGGACATTCGGGAGGGACTCGGAGTAGAACCGCTGCTCCTCTGGATCGAAAGGAGCCAGTTGAGGTGGTTTGGGCATCTGGTCAGGATGCCTCCTGGACGCCTCCCCGGGGAGGTGTTTCGGGCATGTCCTGCCGGCAGAAGGCCCCCGGGTCGACCCAGGACACGTTGGAGAGGTTACATCTCCAATCTGGTCCGGGAACGCCTTGGGATCCTGCCGGAGGAGCTGGTGGACAAGGCCGGGGAGAGGACGGTCTGGAGCTCCCTAGTTGGGATGCTGCCCCCGCGACCCGGACCCGGATAAGCGGAGGAAGACGAAGACGACGACGAAGACGAAGGTATTTTTGTTATTATGCTTGCTGTCATTTAAGTTGTATAGAATTCGAATTCCTTTTCGTATTTTGATGCTTAAAAGGATTCTTAACCAAGTTGTTTTGAACAACGTTTGCACTTAATCTAAGTTTACACTCTTACGCTGTGTTTGTGTTCAGGTTGAGTCGTGAAAATGTGAAATGCACAATTGTTAGTAAACTCTAGTTTTCTTATTCAAAAGGTATCAACAGCAGCTAAATTGCTATCTTTACAACATGAACAGTGATGCTCTGACTTTCATTTCATGGACAATTTGTTAAAAGGGCAGAGATATTTTTGTTAACATGTACTACATTATTTTGTATGGAATCTACCTCTTTTATTTTGATGCCAAAAAATTATTCTGGACTGATCGAAAAATCAACCGACAGAATCGATTATGAAAATAATTGTTAGTTGCAGCCCTAATATGAGTCCTGACTTTAGGGATGATAAGAACGCCCAAGACCGTTAAGACACTTAAAAACCGTTAAAAGTATTTTAAAATCAATCCTGAAACATACTGGGAGCCAATGCAGCAATACCAAAACTGGAGTGATGTGCTCCCGCCTCCTGGTCTTCTTACCTGCAGCCTGTCGCCCTGCAGCAGCTCTGGCCTCTTTCACTCAGCAGATGGAAAAACTTACTCCAGTTTTGAACATTCTGGGAATCAAAAGCATAAAAAGGACACTGGATCAAAAACTACATCCTTTTGTTCAACCGTTGCAGCTTTGAACGTAGCATTAATCAGAGTCTAGATCATTATCAGTGCAGCTTTAATTTTATTCTTCAAATGTGGGCATCTTACTGTTAAAAACACGCTCTGAGATCATTTTATGTTATTGTTTGTGTTCTCTGAGCCAAACAAATAAAAAACACAACATGGATCCAGTTGATAACCAGTTCAAATGGAGGCTCAGCTTTGTTGAGACACCTGGTCCTCCAGAATCCCTGGATTCCTCGAATGCTGATATCAGGTATTTGCTCTACAGCTGTCCTACTTCCAGATGTGGGTTTAGATTCGAAACTCTTCAGCTTTTGATGTCTGATTTTTTTCACCGGGCTGCTTCCTGTCCTGTTTTCCAGGATTCGTTCACATGAACTGCACTACAGAAGGATGGTCCGACGTCTTCCCGCCCTATGACGATGCCTGTGGGTTTGCAGACGACGATGAAGAAGAAACAGAGGTGAGGTCATTTTCACGTCCAGGACTAGCGTCCGTGCATTCCCAAAGGAAGCTCATCAGGAATAGGAGGTTCAGGCTCACCTGAGCCAGGATAAAGGAGCACGAGAAAGTCAGCAGACCTGCGTCAGGTCTCCTCACCTTGGCTCAGCTGAGTGAGCAGTGAGGAGGGCTGTAGCGTGTAACAAGACCCAAAAGCAGAAGTGCTAGCGATGGGTGACGTCTGACATGCCGTTAATATAGGCACGCTGACACGAGCCTGGAAGGGAAACGAGGACGTGGCGATGTTCCAGAGGGTAAAAGGAATGGGCTTACTGTTTAGAGGTTGAAGATGGTGCTTAGGAGCGTGGGAGCTCTGGAATCGCCTGGCGTGAATGACGGGCCGGGGCGATACAACAGGTTGAGCTGTTGCTGTCCGACTTGAACTGGAGCGTCGGCTAGGACCAGGGAGCCACTGAGCGAGGTGAGCACGGGCGCTCCGGGTATAACGGCGAGGTGGATTGAGCCGACACGCTGGAAACATAAAGACAAAACAAGGGGAAGACCGAGAGAGTCGCAGCGGGTTCCGAAACGAGTGGCAAATTCCTTGGCCACGGACAGAGCTAAGGAGCTTTGATGACTGGACATGGACTGTTGGGAAGGACTTCCGAAAATAGGGTGTGCGTGATGACGTGGAGAGGCGGAAACCGGTGTGGGGAATGCTGGGAAGTGGAGTTCAGTTGGTGTCTGGTGTGAAGAGGATGGCTGAAGGGTTGCAATCATGACAACCTGCAGGTTTAGTTTCATTTACACACAAAGATGGAAGTTAAACCAAAGGCTGTTGATCCATGAGAATAATAAATCCAAACTCCGCCTTCTTCGTCAGAACCACGCCTTCTTCGTCAGAACCAATCAGAACACAGCGCTGAGATCAGATAGTCCTTCAGAGACAGACCCTCCGTCTCTAATAGATTAGTACGTTCCTCCAACGTTGAACTAAGTTGTCTGCCTCCTTGTGGAAGATCTGAGTACTGCAGGACATACGTGTCAATTCTACTCTGTCATTACTAGAGTAGGTATTACTAGGGATACTGGTATTCTGCCACTGGTATTGATATGGGCACGATACCGATGCCAATGGTGGAATACCAGTATCAGTATCGGTAAAAGTTAACCGATACCAATGCAGATGCCTGAAATTGACTTCTCTGCAACTTTTCCTTTCTGTTCAGCTAATATTTTAGTTTTATGATCATTTCTATTAAAGGGACTTTACAGACTTTTGAATTTTTATGCTCGCGATTGCCCCCTCAGGCCAAAAGCGTAACGGCAGCTTCAATAGTAGGCTTGTGCACGAGGCGTGCATGCTGTACGTGCACACTCCTTAACGAAAATAACAGCTGAGACAGTCCCATGTGTGTGTGTGTGTGTGTGTGTGTGTGTGTGTGTGTGTGTGTGTGTGTGTGGCGCGGAGGACAGAGGACAGGAGAACACGCAGCTAATTAATGAAATAATGTGGTTCTGTACCTTTCTCTTCAGCACAGCGACAAAGGTTTATGATGGGTCAGTCCTCCTGCATGCTCAGATCATTCCCTTCCCTTGCTTGAAAAATTGTTCCAAAATGAAAGTTGAACCCACATCTTTTTTATCTGTGAATTCAATGCCGTTCGGCGAGTCTCAAATAAAAATTTGGGCATCTTACTGTAAAAAATATACCATTAATGTAAAAAAGAAACTCTAAATAAACTATGTTCACACCCAGAATTGAAACCAGGTCTTCTGCATGAGAGTCAGACATCTTACAAGGTGAGCTACACTCTAGTAACATTCACAGTATCTGTAACTTTTATATCCTTGATGACAGCTGAAGCAACGTCAAACCAAAGAACGGTTCGGAGTGAAAATGGCTATTTTGTTGCTAATTAGCAGGAAATATCTAGAAGAAAGTTCTACAGAAAGTAGCTAAGGGTCCTCAGAAATGTAGCTAGCTTTGTCACTAGGTGTTAGGAACAGCGACAAAGTGGCACTGCCTCTCTCTCTGCTGCTAAAGCTACTGATAGCAAATGCTACGGGCGATGCCTGAGCGTGAACGCGCATGAAGCAGCCTGCTCGACCCGAGCATCTCTCTTTTTCTGTGATTTTACAGAAAACAGGCAATCACAGTAATCAGAGTCAGTCATTACCAGACAAAGTGATCAGTCAACAAAGACCAGACCTGCCGGCAATTATACTTTTCATCTAATGTTTGCGCTCTTCATGCTGCGCGCATCTCCTCCTCTCCCCGACTGGGAGTCTCTCGGCGGGAGGCGTTTTTCAAACTCTAAAAACTCCAAAACTTTGCTCAGCCTGAAGGTTCCACATCTCCACTATCTTCTGATGTAAAGTAGTAACTTCATGAGGGATCATATTTGTAGATGAGACTTGTTAAAGTCAGCAATGAGGCTTTGGTGCTTCTAACGAGTAAGTCCCAATGTCAATATCGTGCCGGTGAGCGAAGCGGAGATGAGGTGAGGATCCAAACGGGGGAGACAGGACAGGGTGTGACAGTAGCCTCCCCCGCCCCCTCCCCCTCCCACCCTTAACCCCCCCCCCCCCCCCCCCCCCCCACACACACACACACACACACAGGGCGGATTCCAGACGCCCACAGGAACATAGAGCAGGGCAGGAGGAGGGGGACCCGGAGGGAGGGCCGAGAGGGACTGAGGGCCCGATGAAGAAGAGGAAGGGACCAGTAGAGTCCGGGGGCCTGCGCCTGGGGCAGAGGAGGCGGCGACGGGCTCTTGGGGGCCTGCCTCTGTGGCAGAGCAGGCGGTGACGACAGGCTCTTGGGGGCCTGCATTTGTGGCAGAGCAGGCGGTGACGACAGGCTCTTGGGGGCCTGCATCTGGGGCAGAGGAGGAGGCGACGACGAGCTCTAGGAGGCCTGTGTCTGGGACAGAGGAGGAGACGAGGATGGACTCTTGGGGGCCCGCGCCTGATGAGGGCAGGACTGGCGGTGACCGGAGGCAGAGACGCAGGAGGAGACGTCCTTGACTTCTGGACTGGAGGCGTCGGCGTCTGCGTCTGGACTGGAAGCGGCGGCGTCGGCCTCTGGGCTGGAGGCGGCGGTGTCGGCCTCTGGGCTGGAAGCGGCGTCGTCAGCCTCTGGGCTGGAGGCGTCGTCGTCGACCAGTGGACTGGAGATGGCGTCGACCACTGGACTGGAGATGGGGTCGACCACTGGACTGGAGACGACGTCGACCACGGGACTGGAGACGGCGTCGACCACTGAACAGGAGACTTTGTCGACCACTGGACAGGAGACGGCATCGACCACTGGACTGGAGACGGCGGAGATGTTGGACTGGAGGGGACGTCGACCTCTGGACACGAGGGAGCGTCGATCTCTGGACACGAGGGAGCGTCGATCTCTGGACACGAGGGAGCGTCGATCTCTGGACACGAGGGAACATCGACCTCTCGACACGAAGGAGCATCGACCTCTCGACACGAAGGAGCATCGACCTCTGGACTGGAAAGAGCGTTGACCTCTGGACTGGAGAGAGCGTCGACCTCTGGACTGGAAAGAGCATTGACCTCTGGACTGGAGAGAGCGTCGACCTCTGGACTGGGGAGAGTGTCAACCTCTGGATTGGAGAGAGCGTCGACCTCTGGAGTGGATGAGGCATCAAACTCTGGAGTGGATGAGGCGTCGACCTCTGGAGTGGATGAGGCGTTGACCTCTGGAGTGGATGAGCCGTCGACCTCTGGAGTGGATGAGGTGTCGACTTCAGAACACGAGGAGGCGTCGACTTCAGAACACGAGGAGGCGTCGACTTCAGAACACGAGGAGGCGTCGACTTCAGAACACGAGGAGGCGTCGACTTCAGAACACGAGGAGGCGTCGACTTCAGAACACGAGGAGGTGTCGACCACAGGACTGGAGGAGGCGTCGACCACAGGACTGGAAGAGGCGTCGACCACAGGACTGGAAGAGGCGTCGACCACCATCGACTTCTGGTCCAGGGGCGTCGATTCCTGGTCCGGAGGCGTCGACTTCTGGTCCGTCGACTTCTGGACCATCGACTTCTGGACTGTCGACTTCGGGACCGACGACTTCTGGACCGTCGACTTCTGGACCGTTGACTTCTGGTCCGGGGGTGTCGACTTCTGGTCCGGGGGCGTCGACTTCTGGTCCGGGAGCGTCGACTTCTGGTTCATCGGCTTCTGGACCGCCGGCCTCTGGACCGCCGGCTTCTGGAACGCCGGCCTCTGTACCGGCAGCTTCTGGAGTGGAGGAGGAGTTGCTGCAGATGGGACCACTTGGACAGACTGGACCAGATGCAGTGCGACCTCCAGGACCACCACGGGAACTGGATGTGGTGCATCCACCGGGACCACCGCTGGAATAGGATGCGGTGCGACCTCCGGGACCACCACGGGAACAGGATGTGGTGCATCCACCGGGACCACCGCTGGAACAGGATGCGACTGAACTGGTGGTGCTGGAAACTGGGAGAGGAGGGAGGATAGAGTTTCCAGTTGGAGCTCCTGGAGACTGAGGCTCTGATGGAGTTGGGCCAGCTCAGTTGGGAGACCGGTGAGCTCTGCTGGGTGGACTGCAGGCTTGCTCCTCTGGTTCTGAGACGAGGGAGCTGCTGGCTGGACTGAAACCCTCTCCTGGTGATTCGGGGAGGATAGGGTGTCCAGGTGGGACTCCTGGAGGCTGACGAGCTGACGGATCCGGCCAAGCTCCGCCCGGAGACCTGCAAGCTCTGTCAGCTGGGCTGTGGGCATTGTTCCTCCGCCTGCAGATGACGGAGGCGCAGATTGGACCAGAGACGGGACTGCTGGTCTGACTGGGGGCGGGTCCAAGCAGGTGCGCCGAGCCGGGACAGCGGCGAGCTCGTGGCTCCGTCCTGGGACACAGGATTGCGGTGCA